GTGCTAGTTTCTAAGGTAGTTGAGACGTGGTAGGACGAACGTGCTTTCATGGTGTAGGTATGTCCGGAAACGTTTATATTTTGTTTATGAAATAAATCAAGTCATCAATGCAAGTCAGTTAGAAATATATCTGGAGCACCATTACTCAAAAATAACGAATGGATGGCTAATAAAGTTAGCACAATGTTATTTTAACGATTTTATTTTAAATTTAATTTAGTACGAAAAACTATTTAAAAAATATATTTTTTTGTAATTTATGAATACTGGTCAACCCAGTATATTTCTTATTAAGCACGAAGGTGTATTTCTTATTAACTTGATTTATTTCATGAAACTTTCATCAAAACTTTTTTGTAAACTTATCAGGAATGTACACAATAATAAGTTACTTTTTGTTCACTCTGTATATAAATTTCGACTTTATCAGGTCAAATTTCTTAAATATGAGTTCATTAAAAAGATTTTTAGAAAATATGGCCATAGTATTTAAATTTATTACCTTGTATTTACATATTTATTTACTTCTATAATTATCAGATGTGTTAAATTTTCTCTCTGGTAAAATGATCTTTTGAATATCTAAAATAAGGTGTATTGATGTACGTTTTAAATAGGACGGCTGAAAGTTTTCAGGGTTGACGTCACGCTGCGCAGCACTCAGTAGAAATTAAATGAATACGGCTATCCTCTTTAGTTGATATAGTCATTGACTTTGGTTGACAATTCATTTGTCAGACTAATTAATTCTATTGTTTGAAAGTTTAAAAATTTTTGGATAACCCAAAATAATTATTGTTTATTACTTTATAGATGAAGTAATATTAATATTTAGTAAATATGTACAATTTAACCAAAATGGATAAAAAAAATCGCTGGATGTGACTGGAAAATAAAGTTAAGTTTTTTAGGAAAAGCAACGAAATAAATTAATAAAAGTAGTGATTTTTAAAGTGTTTGGAAATGTTATGTCAAAAATAAGATACTTTGTGGGGTTTCCGATTCCGGTAGTATATTTAAAAAGTACTATTTTTCCTAATGCCTAAAATGTAAGTATAAAAAAAATTGGATTATTAAGAAAAATATATTATTATATTCCCAATAATTACCTTTCCATGTGTGATATGTGCATTGTTTTAATATGTATTCGATTCATAAAAATAACTGATCGATTCTGTCAATTATTAATCTAGATTTTGTTATAAATTGAAATGTTTGGCAAGCTTGCTTGTGCTTTATACGAAAATCGAAAAATCTTAGGTTAGAATCACCAAAATTCGCAAGTTTTAACTCAAATTTTTCTGTTATTTATGCGTAACCCGCAATTTTTTTATTTTATATTTTATATATACACCTAATACTATTTTCTAGTTCAATTTTTTTTTTGAAACTCGTGTGTCCGTTACGTTTACCGGCGCCAATTTTTAAATTGTTTTTCAAATTTTAATTTTTAACTCATCAAGTTTTTTTTTATGAAACATAAATTTAGTAAAATATGCAAAGTGCAAATTGAAAAGTTGCAAAGTTATTTTATGAAATAGGTCCCAGATATCACACTTTTCATATTTTCCTTGGACCTCTTTTACAATAATTGTAAAAAATTTCGCTAATGATGCAACTAAAACTTCTACAGGGTGTCCTGAAATTAGACGGTCATATTTTAACATCGTAATCTACATCCTAAAACAGGAGTAAAAGTTCATATAAACATAGGTCCAAAAACGTTTCTTTTCCGAGATACAGGGTGTTAAAAGTGAAGTCCTGATGACACATTTTTGTAAATATTTTCTAAACATTTAAAGATAACTAAATGAAATTTGGTACAAATGCTTACCGTTTTACGCTCTATATAATGGACTAAATCTTAGTTTTTGTTCATCTTCATAGATGGGTAAATTAGGGGGGGGAGCTTAAGGTAAAATTGCCCTAAGTTTTTTTGTTGTCAGTTTTTAACATTTTTGACTAAAAAATTTGGAAACCCAATGTTTTTTTTACAATAAAGCTACTCTTGCTGCATCTCGCTAGGACGCACCATTTTCAAGAGAAAAGCATTTGAAAATTTCATGATAAGTTCATATTATCTTATTCGAAAGTGCAAACAAAAATTAGTAGGCCTGGAATCCAATAGCTGCTTTTCAATTTTTTGAGACGCTGTGATAAACAAAAATTGGCTGTCAATTGTGTAATTATTTGTACTTTTTTTGCGTGAAAGAAAAATACTTCTAATAAATGGAGAGCTTTTCAAATAGAGAATTGGCAGATATTCATTTTGTATATGGTTTGTGTAATGGAAGGGCAAGAGCAGCGGTACGAGCATACCGTAGACGGTTTCCTAACCGAAGAATTTCTGACTACCGTGTATTTGTTAATACACATAGAAATTTGGTTGACCATGGTTCATTTCAACGTGATCGTGGACAAGGGAGACCACATGGGAACAACAATTTGGAACACGCCCTTAATTTATTTGAAGAGGACCCAAGAAGGAGTATTCGAACTGTTTTCACCCTTTCAGAAATACAACGAGCAATAGTAAGTAATAATTACGTCCCTTTTTCTTTATACTATTTTATGATTCTTAGTTTTTATTGCTTAAACTTACAAATTAGAAATTAAAAATTTAAACAAACCGACTTCAAAAACGTGTACCAAATTTATATGGGACTACCCCTGAGGTATCCCCTTAATAACAAAAAAATAATCATATAAATCGGACAAGGTGGTAAAGCATTATCGCTAAACATACATAAAAAATGAAGAGTTTGAGGATTTTTTCATGGACCCAATTATTAGATTTTGACCAAATGTATACGGGGCCTCTCCTGAAGTACCCCCTTTCTAACAAAAAAAGAATTATTGAAATCGGACACCGTGTTAAAGGATTATCGCTGAACATACATACATAAAAAAAAATATCGCGATGAATTGAGAACCTCCTCCTTTTTTGAAGTCGGTTAAAAATAACTCGAACAAGTTTCAGATTAAAGGCATTTTTAAATTCTTACTTTAGTTTACGTGTCTTTTAAAAAATATGTGCATTTAGGTTGGAAGAATGTTAAGAATGCAGGGTATTCATCTCTATCATTATCAGCGTGTTCAAGCCTTAAGACCCCACGACTTTTACCACGAATGGAGTTTAGTGAATGGATAAGAAACCATCAGGAACTGCTTCTTTTTATTATATGGAGCGACGAGGCTACATTTAATAGAGATGGTATTTTTAATATTCACAATCACCATTTTTATTCACAAGAAAATCCTAGGGTGGTGCGACGTCGATTTTTTCAAGATAGATTTTCTATTAATGTTTGGGCGGCAGTAATCAATGACAGATTAATTGGGCCGATTGAAATTCCTGCTCGGTTAAATTCAATTGAGTATCTGAATTTTTTACAAACTCACCTTGAACCCATTCTGGATAATCTCCCATTAAATATTCGACATCAGCTGCACTTTAAGCACGACGGAGCGCCAGCCCATTATGGCGTTAATGTGAGAAATTGGCTAAATGAAAGATTTCCGGGTAGATGGATAGGAAGAGGTGTTTCCATACCGTGGCCACCTCGATCTCCGGATTTAAACCCATTAGATTATTACTTTTGGTGTCGTATAAGAGATATGGTATACGCTACAGAAGTTGACAGTGAGGAAGAGTTGCGTGAAAGGATACGTTTGGCAGGGAATGAAATACGGCAAAATAATTTTGAAGTAATGCGAGCTTCACATGCAATTACCCGTAGAGCCGAAATGTGCCTTCGTCAGCAAGGCAACGTTTTTGAACATTTACTTTAACTGTTGTATAAATTGATATTTTTAGTAGAATTTTTGTTATTTTTAGTAGAATATTTGTTATTTTTAGTAGAATTTTTAGTAGTATAGACAAAAACAATTTTTGAGAATCAGTTGTTTATCGTCGTCATTTTAACTTATTTTAAGTCATCCTTAGGAAAATAAAAGTAGATACTTCACGTTAAAAAACTTAAAATTATTATCAAATAGCATTTGCAATAATTAAAAGTAGGTAACTAATGATTTCTTCTCTAACTCAGTCAAACTTCATATTTTTAAGAAATTACCAGCTATTCTTAATTTCAAATACAGTTTTGCTATAATTTTACGAAATTTAACGTATCTGATTTATTTTTACCATCCTAAAAATTACCCTAAAAGAGTTTAAACGTCGGCAGTTAAAGAAATAAATTCTCATCAATCATTTTATTGGGCAAAAGCCAACCAAACCATTAAAAAAAACAATTGATTAGTTTAAGTTTAAATACTATTTAGTTTTACCATTTAAAGTTTCTTTATAAAATAAACATTAAATTAAAGCTAAATAAATTTCTTTAGTCACCGGTTTTCCAAACCTGAAAAAAAAAAATTCTGATTCCACAGGCCTGCTAATTATTGTTTGCACTTTCGAATAAAATAATATGAACTCATTATAAAATTTTCAAATGCTTTTGTCTTGAAAATGGTGCGTCCTAGCGAGATGCAGCAAGAGTAGCTTTATTGTAAAGAAAACATTGGGTTTCCAAATTTTTTAGTCAAAAATGTTAAAAACTGACAACAAAAAAACTTAGGGCAATTTTACCTTAACCCCCCCCCCCTAATTTACCCATCTATGAAGATAATCAAAAACTAAGATTTAGTCCATTACATAGAGAATAAATAGGTAAGCATTTGTACCAAATCTAATTTAGTTATATTTAAGCGTTTAGAAAATATTTACAAAAATGTGTCATCAGAACTTCACTTTTAACACCCTGTATCTCGGAGAAGAAACGTTTTCGGACCTATGTTTATATGAACTTTTACTCCTATTTTAGGACACCCTGTATATCTAATTTAAATATTATATAGAATGTTTTCAAAACTAACTAACCCAGTATTTTAATTCAAAATTGTTTCAATTTTATATTGAATTATAATTACAAATAAACATTTTTTTTTAAATTATTTATATATATATATATATATTGGTACTTAAAAAAATGTCTTACCTTCAACTTGATAGGCTGACGTAGCAAGTCCTATTCTGAAATGATCCGGGAACCTTTTCTTATTCAGCTCGTAACAAGAACTATAATTAATATTTAAACATTAGTGAATACCTACGAAAAATAAAATGGACTTGACATTCAACCTTGACTTTTCAATTTGATCAATATCGAAAAGGCAATGATCATTTATTTATAGTGACCTAGAATTAAGTAATTAACTTGATGGAGTAACAGACTTTAAATGAGATTAGAAATCAGGAAAAAATGGTCCAAGATAGAGGAGACCAACGTTATTAATAATAATAATAATTTATACGATTAACTAACACGAATGATTTGCAATTTAGGGTGTGTTTATCAGTGCATGGTGAAACAGTTTGGTTAATGAATTACCCTGTATACTAGGGTGGGTCAAAAAAATCGATTATTTTTTTTTACAAGTGACACGGAAAAATGGGTTGCTAGACACCTTAAAAAAATTCTCACCAAGCATGAGCTCTTAACTTTAATAGGAAGATCCTCCGCATCGCAGTTTTGTATTTTTTTCTCAGTCCAATAGAAAAAAATTCATACCTCATCATTTATCGATTGAACAGAAAAATGTTCCGAGAGAATTTTTTAGGAAATTTAATGCTCTACAAAAAAGGTATCTTATATTTTTTCCGTAAATCTCACCATTTGAAAGATATTAAGGATTTAATTTTGATTATTTTAAAACAAACTTCATTTTTGTTTATGAATTTTATAACTCGACAATAAATGACTTTTACAAAATGCACAATACAAATTTTTGTTGGAAATTAACTGCTCTATAAAAAAGATATTCATCATCAAACTTTCATGTGTACGGATTTTAAGTTTTTAATGAGATATTCGAAAAATTTCAATTTAATTTATAATTTTTGAGAAAATTTACACGAATTTTAGTTGTTATCAACTGAGAAACTTTAAAATATTTTTTTATTTATGTTTAAGTATATTTGTCTCCATTTAAAAAATAAATTGGACATTATTTATCGCTTAGTTAAATATTTATTAATAAAAAAAGCAAAGTTTTCATTATACATATATTATGATATGTTTCAGTATCAGAGAAAAACAATGTCCAATTAGTTATAAATAAGTATTTTATTTCAATTTTCAAACAAGTTTTTGTTTAAGTTGGGTAATTTTTTCGATGCTCTTTAAAAATTGAAATTGCTCTTCGTTTTTTGTTAAACATTGGTTATATTCACTTACTAATGCGACACCTCGCTCTGCTACATCATTAACAACTTTTAATTGTGCGAAAAATTCTTTATTTTCATTATAACTGTCATCAGTAGACCATAAATCAATATTTTCATCAAGAAAATCATATGGCAGATCAAAGAGCTCAAACAGTTTCATTGACTTCTTAGAAACAAAGTCACTTATGTTTTTTTGCAGAATTGAATCCAAATTTTTTTTATCAATTATAAAATCTTCTTGCTTTAGAATCTGTACCTTCGCGAGTCTTAACAGCTTCGACAATATTCCTCTTTATGTTTAATGGTACGGTATCATCAAATAGTGATAAAATGGCAAGTTCATCATATAAGTACCATAAATGTAAAGTCATTTTTTCACATGTAACCGAGGATATCAAAGGATTAATTTGCTTGTACTTAATTACATTTTTCATGAACTCTTGTCGCACTCAATGTTTTGTTAAATAATTAAACATTGACTTTCCTTGTGAGATATAAAGGACTTTTTCTCCCCCTTCACCTTAAAACTATAGCAATGTCTTTTCGTAAGAGCATGCGAGTTCGTTGAATTGTTCTGTAACTAAGAGTTGTATCTTCAATATTTACACCAACACTTGAGAGAACTGGAGCAATAATGAACATCGCATGTCTACTACTGACATTAGCTCTGTCGAGTGCCGATATAAGCTCTGGAGTTAAAATATTTATTTTTGCTCGTGTTATCGGTATTTGAGGCACATACTCTAAATCTGAACCGTAATTTGTAACTTGACTTAATGTAAGCGTTGAGGATGACTCAGATTTTTCACTTCGAGCAATCTCATGTCTGGTTGAGGGTTGATTCAAATCTAGAATAAGCGTTATAATTTAATTAACGGAAGCACAAATATGGAACGCATTCATTTTGATATCAGATAAAGAACACGAAGAGTTTTTTTATTTATAATCATGAACATCTTGACATTTATGATATAATTAATTAGAAAGACAATAATATACTTTATTATTTATATTTATAATAAATTCAATTGATTTTTAATTATGACTAAAATTTATGAAAATTAAATGTTGTAAATACTTACGACTTTCATCTACTTCCATCATAGTCATAGTTCTGTTTGATTTATTTGGGTTATTAGAAAGAATTTCTTTCCGGGTATCACTTTTTTGATTTGAATATAGCTCTTGAATATCATTACCAAGCAGTTTTAATGATTTATTATCGATAATATAAAATAATGCTTTAAGTTCATTCTGAAATTTTATTTCATTTTTGTATCGTGCTGATGATTTTTTTCACACATCGCCATCGATTATGATAGCGAAGAATTTTTTTTATTACATTAGTCGATTCACTAGTCGGAATCTGGTTGTTTTTCCATAATTCAACAACTTGATCAGCTGCATTTTTGGCACTTTGTTTGATAGAACATTTCAAAACTTTGAGCTGATGAAAAAAAAAACACTCATAACCTCTTTCACTGTTGGTAACTTACGTTCTGAATTTTTTTGCACAGGTTTTCCGATCAAATGAATTTCCTTATCCATATTTTCGATAAATATCAAGTTAATTCACGTAGTAACCGCAACATTTTTAAATAATTAATCGTTCGATCACATATACGAGATCATAAATTTTGGAAACACTAAAAATGACAAACCAATGACAACATAACGATAAAGGAAAAAGTAGGTGGCGCTAGTTCACAATACAAAACAAAAATTCTCTAGAGGAGAAATTTTCCCTAGGATCGTGATTTCTAATGATTAAAAATAAAATGTTTAGAATAATTGAAGAAAAATTTTGATAATTTTGAAAATAAAACTCAAATAATACTTATATTAATGACAAGAAATGAAATTCATATGAAATTTATAAATTAAATTGAAATTTTTCGAATATCTCATCAAAAACTTTTAAAATCCGTACACATGAAAGTTTGATGATGAATATCTTTTAAACGGTTAATTTCATCGCCAAAACATAAGAAACCATTTTTATAGAGCAGTTAATTTCCAATAAAAATTTGTATTGCGTATTTTGTAAAAGTCATTTATTGTCGAGTTATAAAATTCATAAACAAAAATGAAATTTGTCTTAAAATAATCAAAATTAAATCCTTAATATCTTTCAAATGGTGAGGTTTACGGAAAAAATATAAGATAACTTTTTTGTAGAGCATTAAATTTCCTAAAAAATTCTTTCGGAACATTTTTCTGTTCAATCGATAAGTGATGAGGTATGAATTTTTTTCTATTGGACTGAGAAAAAAATACAAAACTGCGATGCGGAGGATCTTCCTATTAAAATTAAATTTTTTTTAAGGTGTCTAGCAACCCATTTTTCCGTGTCACTTGTAAAAAAAATAATCGATTTTTTTGACCCACATACTGTAAGTATACAGTGTATATTTTTTTAATTCATATTAAAATTTTACTCTCCCTATTTTTCTGTATGGCACCAGATATTTATTAAATTTAATTCTGAATGTAAGGGACTTTTTAACGATAATAATAAAAATGTTTCCATAACTTAAGTACAACAGGGTAGTAACAAAAAAATCAATGTAAACAAAAATAATTCCTAAAAGAATTACTTACATTTGCAATATTACAATTAATCCAACAACTAGACTTCGTTGAAAGTGCATCTTCAACAAATAAATTTACCAAAAAACGACACTATAAAATACTAAACCGATGAATGTTTTTGATACATATAATTATTGCTACCACTTCACTGCTTATAAATATTATTTCTAGCAAACTCACCACTTCTCTATTTATACCAAGATTACAACAGATTAACATAACTATATCGACTTTCTTTCGTAATTTTCGAAGTTAGATTGACGCCGGTATAAATTTAGAACAGGGTCGGTGTAGGAGACAATTTTAACGTAAATATATTCCCAATTTGGTATACGATTGATTTTGAAAAAGTTGAGGGAAATATAATAATAAAAATCCTACAGGTGTGAAATAAATTTTGAATTTGGATGTTAATTTTGGAATAGTATGTTGTGCAACAAGTGCAGAAAGTAACCAATTCCACACGATGTGTGAAACTTGTGGCACGAGCGAATGCGAGTGCCACAATCACACGAGTGTGGAATTGGTTTTCTGTACGAGTGGCACACTATACTTTTTCTACGACCACTATGACTTAAAACACAAATTAATATATTTTTTAATAATTGGATGATCTTTATTAATCGAATTAAATTACGGGTTTTGAGCTTACATTAAATTGTAATTAGATGAAACAAAATGGATTCTATGTATTTTGAGGTGATCTTTTCGAAAAAAGGCAAAACAAAATGTAGCACTTTTTCGAAAGTGCCGAAATTTTGGATTTTGTCAATTTTTCAATTTTGCGCAGGCGCATGTCGGAAATAAATCAATATTTTTAAAACGCAGTTTACGACATTTGAAAGCTTAGAAAAAATGCTAATTTTTATGTTTCTTGAGAAATTTTGATCCGATGCACCGTTCTCGCGGTATGGACGATTGAAATTTGTTTAGTATTTTGAGGCGACGAAGGTCGAAAAATTGAATTTGTTAAATGTTCAAACACTAAATTCTCTATAACATTGGTAAAAATTAAGATATTTGAAAAAACAAAAATGCGTTTTGAACTTAAGGGATGTGACTAGTGATTCCCAGAAGGGGGCAAGAGAAATCCCAAAATTGGGCATATGGCGGAAGGGCAAAATGCACCGCGGTCCTAATTTCATTGTTTGCCTATAACGGCCAAACTATTTGAATTTTTTTAATGCCACTTACAAAGCTTACTCTTAAATGTGAAATCTTATGTGTGTGTGACTTTCACCGACATCGGACCATAATTGGCTAAGATATCAAACAATTAAATAATTTTTTTTTTTTTAAATATTTTTTTTTTTAAAGTTTGAAGTGGCACAAAAATGCCAAAAATGCACCCAATGGCTCAAAACTTTTTTTTTGAGTACTCTATTGTGTCGTGTCTAGAATACGATTACATTACGGAAAATTCTGCAAATATATTTTATCTATTTTTTTGACCACTGTTCATTGAGTGACGACCAAAAAACACGGTTTTTGAGAAAAGTTGCCTAAAATTGACAATTTTTAGTTTTTTTTTGTCTGAAAATTAAACAAACCCAAATATCATGTCTTCTAAATGTGTATATAAAGTTTAAAGTGTGTATGTTTCTTCTAAGTTGTAGAATTCTCCCGACAAAAGACCCATTACACGCGCTCCGCGGGATCCAAAACTCGTGTATACACTACATTACTGTAATTTGATTTTTTTGCGATTTCCAGTTTTAAATTTCTTGCATATCTAAATTTATTAGGCTTAAAATTTATTAAATTGTATTTTACTGACTTGTTATAAGACACGTTTCTTGAGTTTTGTGCAAAATATAGAATTACCAGATATTATCGAACATAAAGCAAGCTTATCACCAAGTTGGGACTTACACTCAGGCTTAGGATTAATTTCCTAACATTTTTAAAGTATACCTTTTTGTGTATTTTTTTGTGCTCTTTTCGATGGCGAAGTTAGTTTTTTCAAATATATTTATTTTGTTAGATGTTTTCGGAAAACCCGGAAAAAATCACATGGGAAAAAAATTAAAAAAAAAACTACGCCTCTGGTTTCCTGCGAATTCCCGAAAAATTATGTCAGATTTCGCCGCGGGACTTATTTTATTTGAGAGCCAACAAAAAAATACGCAACTTCTCTCATGGGCACATATGTCTAACATTTATAATTTTGCCACAAATTCATCGCAAATTTCATGTTCATGGTTCTGATCAAAAAAACGAAAAAACGACTTTTTGGTAAAAGCACTTCGGCGGCGAGAAATTCGCCATTAAAACTACCTGTGCAATGAATTTCCGAACTATTTTTGCCTCCTCTTTCGAATGGTGCATTTATTTTCACTATCGGAATAATACTTGCCCAGATAATTAGCATTTTTACAATGGAAAATTCCGGAAAACCCGGTTTTTCCTAATTTAAAAAAAAATTGAAAAACTGCTACATCTTTTTTTTCTTTTTTTCGGAAAGATCACATCAAAATACACAAGGTTCTTTTTGTTTCATCCAATTACAAATTAATGTAAGCTCGAAGGGGCTTTTTTTCGTTATTTAATTGGACTATATTAACGATTTAAAATTAGAAATATAAAGAGGTGGTAAATATTTATTATTGTTATCACTTTTTAAATGTATACTTAACATAGTTTCTTTTTCATATTTTTCGTGGACATCGTCCCCGTTCCTCCTGTTTGTGCCCCAAATAAAATAAAACAAATTATTACCACTATTAATTTTGTAATTCACTAAACTACACTCACCGGCACGAAAAACGGAGCAGTTGAATTTTTTTAAACAAACTTAAAATTTTAATGTTTTGTGATGTTTTATTATTATAATATCTTAAACATAAACAAAACAACATGTTTTAAGTATTTTCTAACAACAATTGAACCTTTATTTGAAGAAAAGAAGGGTTTTGTAACAATTTAAAAAACGAAGACGAAAAAGCACAAATTGGTGTTGTTGCTAAATGACCTTAAATTAATCAAAACTGAAACGACTTGCTAGCAAAAACTGGGGAGCCGCATTTTTAATAACGTGTGTTGCCCCCACGTGCTCGAATAATAGCCTGCAAACAATTTTTTTGTGCTATATTGAATTTTTCTTATAAGTACCAAATAAAATTATTTTTTCGAAAAAATTACAAAATATCTTACTCTAAATTACACAAAAATATGATTTACTTTTTTTCTGCTAATCAAGTAGTTTTTACTAAGAAAAATATAATAAATATCAATAATGTATTATTGATAAGCCAATTTAAAGTGTATAAGCGGCAGTCGCAGGTTCTCAACAGTCCTTTACGTATTATTTAAAGAGGATTATCTTCATTAGCCAATTCGGGTAAGTTACCACATTAGTTAATAATAATAGAGAATTATAATTATCCTTCATTAATCCTTTCAAGGAGAAATTCATAGTGCAATCAATATTTAATTCTAAAAAGGATTATCTTCAATAGTTTGTTTGTGTAAGTTAGTATTTTAGATGCCCTGTTTATAATATATGTATATAAGGTTTAAATAAGAAATACCAAAAAAAAAAAAAAAAAAAATACCAACGAACTGTAATCATTCTTATTTTGTCTTTGTACGAGTTTACATCATTGTAAAATTTGAAAATGCCGTTACAATTTGTTGACAGCGAAAGAGGTCACAAAATGCTTTTATACAATGGCCATACACATTCTAGAGAAAAAATTTCTGGAGAAAAAGGTATTTGGAAATGTTCTCTATATCATAAATGGAGATGTACCGGTCGCATTCATACCATAGGCGATGAAATTGTGAAGAGTACCGAACATAATCATGTGTCAGATAGTGCTGATGCTGAAGTAAGAAGAGCTGTTAAAAAATGAAAGTTTTAGCTGAACAAAGTGGTTCCACTACTCAACAAATCATTGCAAAGGTTTCCGAGGGTTTATCATCATCGGCTGCAGCCAGATTACCACAAGTGAGTGCAATGAAAATAACTATTCAACGAAAAAAGGAAAAGACAGAAGGAATTCCTGCGATTCCAAATTATCTTCTTCAATTAGTTATTCCACAGGAATATACACTGACAAGCAGTGGTCGGTTATTTTTAATGTACGACAGCGGCCCATCAGAAGATCGAATATTAGTGCTTACAACAGCAAGAAATCTTGACTACATGTTGGAGTGTGAACACTGGTACGGAGATGGAACTTTTTCAACAGCCCCTAATATGTTTTCCCAAATATATACAATCCATGGCGTCAAATATTCAAATACCATTCCAACAGTATATGCAATTCTGCCGAATAAAAGAGAAGAAAGCTATAGACGTTTATATGTAGCATTAAAAAATTTGAAACCTGAACTTTGCCCTACATCTTTTTTAATGGATTTCGAAAAAGCAGCGATGAATGCGGTACGAAGTGAATTCCCTAATACTCAAATTCGTGGATGCTTTTTTCATTTTTCTCAGTGTATATGGAGACAAATCCAGAATACCGGATTTCAGAGACGATATGTGGATGAAGAAGTGTTTTCGTCAAATTTGCGACTTCTGGCTGCACTTGCTTATGTTCCTGAAGACGATGTAGAAAGTGCTTTTGATTTATTATTGGAAAGTGAATTCTATGCAGAAAACGAGGGCTTAGCAGATTTAATAAACTATTTTGAAGACACGTGGATTGGTAGATTAGACAGAAGAGGAAGAAGACGGTTACCAAAATTTCCTATATCTTGTTGGAATTGTTACAATGCAGCCAGAGAGGGAATTGCTAGAACCAATAATGCAGTTGAAGGATGGCATAACAGTTTCAGTTCAATTGTTTCCATTGCACATCCCAACATTTGGAGGCTAATTAAGGCTTTACAAAAGGAGGAAAGCCTTAACAAATTGAAAATAGAGCAAATTGTGACAGGTAATGAAATTACTCAAAAAAAAAATTACAAAGATTCTGCACGTCGTTTAAAACTACTTACAGAATCCTACGACGCTCGTAATACCATGGAATATCTTCGAGGAATTGCGCATAATTTTCGAATGCAAGTCTAAATTATTTAATATTATTATATTATATTAATTCAATTTAAA